TTGCCTTTCACGTTTGGGGTGCTTCATTTTCATAATCACCTTATCACATATGAATGTAAATGAAGCGAGGAGGAAAAGAATTTTCTATCCTATGTTGCTATCGTACTTCAGAAAGCACCCGATATTTTTTTTTATTACACATGGAGCTTCACACGTGGAAACAAACATTCGGGTCGTGATAACCGAGCACTTCACATAAAAGAGCTCACGCATTTCAAATGATACGCGAGAGAAATCATAAAAATCGAACAAAATCTAAATACATTATAAAAATGCGCACGCGGGCGTATGTGTGTGGGAATGGGAGATAGAGTGGGGGGAGATTGTGAAATTGGTAAAAGTAGATGACATTATTATCTAAAATCTCTTGATTTATTACAGAAATTTGCTTTTGAGGCATTAATAAAATAAAGCTTTAAACGACTAAAAAAAAACTAGTTTTCAAATTTTGTGCGGGACTCTTTTGATCAGTGAGTTAAGAATTATAACATATTAAAATTTCAGCCAATTTCACCGAGGGCTAAAATTCTATGATTTTGTGCGAAGTCCTTTTTTCGGCCGTCCGGGACGTTCTCTGTCTCTCACATCAAGATCACAGTTCCGAAAGCACACTCTACATGTTTTTTCCTATGGAGTTTCATCACCATACATTTCAGATAATAAACGATGCGTTTTAGCTGCGGTTTTCTTGAGGTCAAAGTGAAGAAACACATGTCGGAAAAACAACTTAGTATTGATTTATTTTTAGCAATAAAAATCTAAACTACAAAAGACATGTGACTTCACCGTCGAAACTCCAGCCAGCGTTGAATTCGACACCCTCTAATAGCGAGCAGCAAGAAATAAGTTAATCATCTAATAATGTATATTACCATGTATTAAGTAATTAGATTAATTAATAAAGTGATATTATCAAGTTTTTGGCGGAAATTTCAATTTTGTTCAGAAAAAAAATTTACTTACTAGATCTCATTGTAATTCCAATAATATTTTCTTTGCGGCATCACATTCTGTATATATTGGAGTATTTTTAAGAATTTTTTCAGATTTTTAAAAGTGGATATAATTTTCCATTTACATACTTAAAGTCAAAAGATTGACTTTTTGTCACACTATTTATTTATTCTCATTAAAATTAACTTTTTTATCTGAAAGTACGGGAAAAGTTCTAAAAAATTCATATGTACCAAATTTACATATTTTGTAATTTTATCTAAATGACAACAAAAAGAGAACTCCTCTAAACAATTCCGATATCATGGATGCAAGGTATACGTATATAATATTTATTTTTTTTATCTTCAATATTATACAATATGCTCATTCATATGTTTTCATGATTATTTCAAGGATCCCAAAGAGTTTATTTTTAGGTGGATTTCTTTCACTTGGAATGCCTCATATACGTATAGATGCGTGCGTGCGTGCGTAATCTATTTTTGAGGCTTTTAAGGATTTTTTTTTTTAGATGTGCCAAAGGATTATCGTCGCATCGTCATTATCAATGTGCTCCTGATGAAGTGAATAGCAAAGTTGGCATTAGCACGAAATGTTGGCATTAACAATGGATCACGACAAAGCAACCTGCAAATCTATGCCTTTGGGACCTCCTTATGTTTTTACACGAAAGTCTTTAAAATTTTGTTTCGCTACACAGACATCATCTTACTTCCTTAATTTGTTATTTTAACTTTATGTGTATAATACATAATTGATATAATTTTCTGTAAACGACATAATTTGCTTATAAACTTCGATTATTTCAGTTTTCTCAGTCTCTTTCGAGATGAACCATTATTTATATTCTTCAGCGTAATTGAAGTTTTTGTTATTCGCATCGTGGCTGATTGTGATTTGACACATATAACATGAACGTGTGTTGATCGATACAAAAATAAAGAAAATAAGTATTGTAAAAGCAGCCAACCATGCAATCTATGTCGAGGTGCGTTAAATCGGGCATTACTAATTGCGTGTGACATATTGCTGCTTATAGATTTATCGATCGTCATTACTTACGTTCTAATGAAGATACGTGGCATATTTTTTCAAGCTTGTACCAACACTTGTACCTTAAAAAATGAAAACATATTACAGCTAGTATCATCCTAGAAAATATTATGACATCTTTAAGTCTTCTAAGATACTTCTAAGAATCATTTAAGAGACCTTTTTTTAAAAAACATTTTATATTAGGTGTTGGAATTAATTCGTAGCGTTTTTTAATGAAATAATGTTATTTATTTCACATGAGCATTAAAAAATACATTAATGAAAGTACTTCCCATCACTTGTAAAACGCTACGAATTAATTCCAACACCTAATAGTATTATGAGAAAGATACCTATTTAAAATGTCCCATATATGTCAATTTTTATAATATAGGTAACTTCAGTTTAGGGTAATCATCCGTACATTTTTTCCTAGACATGTAGATGCTTTTTTTCAAACGTCTAGAGGTCCGGGCAAGTTTTCAATGCGTACTTTTTTTTTGTATTACTTTTGTGACTTGGGTGCAAGCGAAGGAATCAGAAGTTATTAAAGTCAACTGTGACACTGTTACACATATAAATATATTAACACATAATACAAGATAAGCATGGAATAAGACATTAAGACCGCAAAACCAATGAATATCCAACATAAAATTGCCACATTAATTTACATAGGATGCTGATTAGACATTAGGGCTGTGTTCCAAAATTGACTGCCAATACTAAAAATCTATAATATTACACATGACGCAAATTATAGATTTCCAGCTCTGGCAATAAATTGGTAGGCTAAGCCTGCCTAGGATTTTTCTATAGGGAGGCAGTTGTATATAAAAACTTTAGATCATAAGTGCCGTCACGAAAAGATAGCGCGTCGAGATATAGAATGAATGGATGGATGGATGGGAAGTAAAGAAAGTATATACATAATGATATGAACAAAAAAAAATTTTTTTATTCACATATTATTACATCGTTTCTCTTTTTGTACGTATTAAGAAAACTAAAATCAATATCTCGCAATCGACGAGCTGATGTTTGTTAAAGATATCACTATCGCGTATAGCGTTTTTGGACGCGAAGTTGGAGAATCGCGTATACTTGACATCAATCGTATCGACGAGTCGGGCTAATTGTTCGAACGTTACATCGATACATCCGTCAAACTCAAACATACGTCGTAGCGTCGTTTCGGTCATCATCATGCGTACGGATGAAGAATTACGAGACGTACGAACATAACATTGTTCAGCATGCAAACGCTGACAGTTAGCGGTCCAACGCTTATAAAATTGTCTTTCGCAGCATCTTGTAAATATTCCATCGCTGCTCATAGAGGCCCACGTTTCGAGAGACAGCAGCAGTTCATGTCTGCGATGATCTCCGAGGGTGATCTCCACGTAACTCGGTAGACCAACGTTGATTCCAATTTCCAAAAATTTGTAGCCCGTAGTCGTCAGATCATAACGTCTGCTCAATAAACGCACCTTGCGATGTTCCATGCTGTGTACATACATAATGTTAAAAACATTTCTTTTGTGTATAGAATTTTAAAACTTACATGTTACTTCAGTCCTTCTTCGTTTCGTACGATGCGTTGCTGTCTTTAGCGAAGTACATTTTTTCAACCGTTCGTACAAGCGAGTATCGCAAGGCTAATTGCACCCGCGTAAATTGCAATGTATATAAAACTAGAGTCGAAGAGGGGGTAACTCTCCCCTCTTTTTAAGAATTGCGAACATGTCGCAACATGTTTTATCGAGTCTTTCTACGTATTTTTTTTTTGTTCACGAGTTTATCAATGCTTATACTTTATGTTTTATATTTCGATGGTATCGATGACGTTGATGATGAACACGTTGGCGACTTTGACGCCTTTTCTCCAGGACGTTCCCAATATCTTACTTTTTCCTTTGATGGCGGTGGACTTGGCGGACTTGGCAACAACAGACCCCTTCCGCTCGATTGATTTTCGGCGTATATATTCTTTTACTCGATCCATGTTTTAACGCTCGTAACTGAAGCTTACGAATGAAAGCTTTGAATGAAAAAAGTCTAATACACTGTTTATATACATTGCATATATACTGTCAGATTAGACATGTTGCGACGCGTTTAACAGAAGCGTTGATGTTTTCGGATACATACATACATATATACATACATACATATATGTGTTCATACATACATATACGTTCATACATATACATTCATACATACACATTTATACATACGAATACATGTATTACAAAAGAAGGAAAAAAGAAATACGTAATAAATACGTTAACATATTTTTATTTAAAAAATTCTTTTGCAACCACCAGTTATATATTTTGTAACGCGCAATTCTAAACATGTTGTCCACATCGCATAGTATTAGCAACATCCAGCTTGGTTAAAGATTCCATGTCTTCGTAAATTACATCCAAGGTCTCGATGTACATGCGTCTCATTCAAAAGCAAGTTCCACAACCACGTTCGTTTCTCACGTCCCTTAACGTACACGATAGCATCATCTTCAAATACAGCTGCTGTGATCAGGCGTTTCGCCTCGTTGTACGGGACCATCCCGTCCTCCCATCGCAATCCATAATAAGCAGTCAACCAGGAAGTGCAAGACCTGTCAGATCTTGTCAAAAATTTCCATGGCACGGTAAAAATGTAATGTGAGAACGGTCCTCTGTTTCAGCACCGTCACTTCTTTCACGATAAATTTCTTGTTAACGATGAATCCTTGCAGATCCACGAACGTTGGCATGAGCATATTGTCGAGAAGACTGTGGTTGGTTGCGGTCGATTGCGATGTATCGTAGATCTTATACCGTGTCAGAGGTGCACTTAGATAATTTTGCGCACAACGTTGGTATATGAATTATACTGAATCACGTGTATGATGAGACAATAGGTTGTTGTATTTGCGGATACATACTCTTTACATTCAAAATCTAATCGCACGTCCATGGTGCCACTCTTGACTGATTCGTTCTGTCGAGAGCAATCGATGATCATGGGCCATTACGTTGTAAAAAAGTTGTAAAGGTGAGATTCGGCTCGAGATACTCGTATCCGTAGTAGCCCTTGCAGAAACTCGCGTACAAGTCGTACAGAATCGCACATCTGTTTTTAGCAAAATCCAGATTCAAGTCATCATAAAGATAATAATAACATTCCGAATTCAGGTAAAGTTTCGCATTGGTTAATTTGCAGTCGTCAAATCGACTTACATTCTCGGACATGATGTTTTTTCGACCTGTTTTCATCGCGAAAATAACGTAGCGCGGCTTCTCGAGCTGAGTAGCCGTCATGATGGCCCACAAATGCTTGGTCTGCAAGAGCGGAAACTCGTACAGATCCCTCGAGCGAAAAGCCATGCTCAGATATCGTCCGCTCTCCAAAGCGCGCAGCATCGACAATTTATTTATCTCGCTCAATAACACATGCGGCATTTGCCACTGTATTTTGAATAATTCGAGCGTTGGCTCTATTGCCGTATCTCCCATCAGACAATTGTTGTCGTTACACGCTCGTATTAAAATCAACTCGTGACGAGCGTTGATCACCACGCGTTTGTAATCTTCGCAAAATCCCAGCAGTACGTAGAGCGGTACACAGAAATTAAAGTATCCAGTAGTAATCTGCGCATCCCAGCCAGCATTCCGTAGAATCACGCTTCTGTCGGATGACACTGTTACATAGTTTTTAAGCGTGCCCACATTATGATCAATCTTCACATTATTGAGTTCATATCGAATCTCATCGAATATGAACGCGACGCAATTATTTCCCAATGCCACATGAGCACCTTGGACCACTTTGTTCTTCGTCAGTTTTCCCTCGACATATAGAAAGCTTTCGTACGGCAGTACAGATCCTGTTGCTGTATGTGTATTCTTATTTCGTCGCTATACCCAAATGTTGTGTTGGCGAGCGGACTGTACGTGTGAGTCTCAATCTTGACGATGTGATCGGCTTGTCTTTAATGTTTAAGATATCAGTCATCTCAAATGTTGCGCACCGCGAATCCCAAAGACTTTAAAAATGTAACATTCGACGCACTGAGTTTCTTCTTCTTCCTAATGCAACTGGATGAGTGAGTGTTGTCGAGCTGCGTCACCGATTTTGTAAAGAATGCATTATCTCTTTGCGTACGCTCCGTTCCGTTCACGAGCATCTCACACTCACGTTATCACTGTCGCCGTCGTATGTGCAATCTAACGGTGATCTCTTCTCCTCAAAAATTGAGCAATCGTCCGTTCTGATCTACCATGCGTATCGTTAAATCCGTAATGTTCTGTGCGATGATCAGCAGATAATTGATTTGCGTCGGCCTCTCCGATATCTTATATCCTGGCGGCACGCTCGGCGAAAATTCATGTATCGTGTACGCACTTTTGCCGTTGCTGTACGCACTCGCAGTCACGTTACACTCTACGCGGAGTTAAAGTTTACATTCATTATGTTGATCGACACATCCGATTCGTGTCACCTTCGCGACTGTATACGCTTCGAGAATCCCAGCAGCGATCCAATGCTGTTGGACTTGCCAAAGTTTATTCTGTGCGCACATCTAATCTCACATCTCATCGTTCGCGGATTCGTCTTTAAATAATTGTTCGAGAGCGTGTAGCCTTTAGTGTGAGCATGAAATTCGTGCTGCAACCGCTGACGATACGTGTCACAAACTGTGACACGAAATCACAAATGATGGGAGGAGAAGCGCAAGCACGGCGAAATGCTGCCGAGTACTATATGCGCGATCATTTGCAGTCGAATTGTGGTAAAACCAACGTTCTCATAAGTTTGCTCGAGAGTCAAAACGGCTTATGTTTCGAGAACATGTACATCTATTCGAAATCACTGCAACAGCCAAAGTATCGATATCTCGAAAATTTATTTACGTCCATCGATGAAATCGACTACTTTACATTTTCCAACAATAGCGACATCGTTTCACCGAACGAGACCCAAATTCTATTTTTATCTTTGACGTGGCATGCAACAAGTAGAATACAATGACAGAATACTTTTCACCACGCGAACGTTGACTGCTTCTATCTCTGTCAGACGTGCGCGAGGATACCTAAACATCTGATACCCGACAACGCGAACCTGCTGATCCTGTTCAAACAAAATTGTTTCACCAACTTGAAACACGTTTACAATGATCACGTGAACACTGACATGTCCTACGACGAATTTTGCGCGTTGTGTCGTGACTGTTGGCAAAAAATGGATTTTTAATAATAAACAAGGATAGTACGCTTAAAGACGGGAGATACAGAAAGAGATTGAACGAGTTCGTCATACTGTAACGTGATTAGTCGTTGTCAATACTTCGCCAGAGACTAACTTATGTGCACGAGCGAGAAAAAATCCCGAGAGAGATCGAGAAGACGAGCGATCCGCAAGAAATATCGCGCTTTGAAAACCGATAGACTCGAGGAGGACATGGCATTGGACAGACAACCCTATTCAAACCGCTGCGGCAGATCGTTGACAGCCCCGGTGTGCGCGCGATAAAGAGACAGTCGCGCGACGCAGCGTCTGCCTCCAAGCGCGAGAGGAAGGAAGAAGAGGAGGAGGAAGAGGAGGAGAAAGAGGGAGAGAAAGCGAGTGAGACGTTCGAATAAATCCCCGCATAAATCCGATTGCGCGATCGTGTACAGCCGATAACCTCCACTCCGCGTACGATGATCGTACCGACGATAGAATCGTTGGATAACGTTTTCGAAACGACGGACGACTCGCTAGCAACAAAGGTTCAAAATCGGTTGCAAACGTCGGAAGATCGAGAAGCGTTGCAAGCTGGCTTGGACCCGCTGGGTCAAAAGTACGTCGAGGCTGTCCTGAGGGAGTGCGAGATAAACAGAAGAGTGGTATAGATTATGTATACGGCGTTTACCTACACAAGGATGGATTGATGTTTGATAATAAACGTTTGTTTGTTTGACAATAAACATTTCGATGTGGATGATGCGGATAACGTAATTATCGACGACGTACGATACGCCAGTATACCCGGTCTTTACGAGTTAATTTTCAAGAGAATTCCCGACGATCTCCTCTACACGGAAGACGATATGAACAAGTACAGGAGCATGCTGCTGGCGACGAATGCGCACAAACACAAGCATCATTCGCAGGTCGATTATTGAGCAACAGGGGACAAGTACAAATACGTAATCGCGCCGTTAATGTCGATCACATCCAAGAAACAGAAGAAGAAATCTGTAAAGGGATTACCTCACGCAATGACATTGAACGACAACGCGATCGATTGTGCACTGGGACGATCCCAACGAGCTGGTGGATCGTCTACGATTGCTCGACGCTTCGCACCGAGCGGGCAACAACGCTCACGACAACGAGATGCTATCGATTATCGAAGAACTTTGCGAAGCCGGTCTTATTATAAATTAAATCGCATATCGAAGAAACGAAAACACGGTCAGGAGAGGTTATCAAAATGGAGTCCTCCACTTCGCGTCCCGCCACCTCCATTCCGATTCCTTCTCGAGTTGTTTTGCGCGGCATCATTCAGTTTCTTTTTGCTCAAGATTTTAAATCGGTTGATATTCACAAACAGCTTGTTTCTGTATATGGAGAGAGTGTGATGAGTGAATCTATGGTGCGGAGATGGGTCCGAGAATTTAAGGCAGGAAGACATTCGCTTGAAGACGAAAGTGGGAGAGGCAGACCCTCCCTTATCACGGATGAGTTGACGACAAAAATTGAAAATGCGATTCGCAATAATCGTCGTTTAACTTTAGATGAACTCCACAACCTTTTTCCAGAGATATCCCGAAGTCTTATCCATGAGATCGTTTCAGAAAAACTCGAATTTCGCAAGGTTTGCGCCCGTTGGGTTCCCAGAGAACTGACTCCTCTACACAAGGCCACACGAGTCAGTTTAGTTGGGATGTTTTGACCCACCCACCGTATAGCCCGGATCTAGCACCATCGGACTACCATCTTTTTACGAAACTGAAGGAGTCCTTAGCCGGAAAATGCTTCCAAAGCGACGAGGAAGTTCAGACAGCTGTAACTAACTGGACTAAAGAACTGGCGGGAAGTTTCTATGCAGAAGGGATTTCGAAGCTTGTTTCCAGATATACAAAATGTATTGAGATTGACGGGAATTATGTAGAAAAAGACTAGAAATTGTCAAGTATTATCCATGTAAATTTTAGATTTTTTCAATAAAAACTTTATTTGTAAAAAAAAAACGGAACTTATTTTCTGGATACCCCTCGTATTACGCGTCGAATCACGAAAAAGAGATCCAGCAAAAAGAGAAAAATTAGTTCCGAGAGCTAAGACGTCGACTCGTCGAGGAATTGCACGCTCCGGCGAGAAAAAATTTTCCACGAAGACGCGTCATAGTTCGAGGATACGGCGATCTATGACAGACCGATATCGTCAAGATGCATCCGTACTGGAGCTTGAACAGAGGCCACCACTACATACTCACCGTCATCGATGTGTTGAGCAAGTACGCGTAGGCCGTACCGCTCAAGAGCAAGAGTGAAAGCGAGACGGCTGATGCTATTGTTGAGATAATTCGAGCAAGTGGAAAATGTCCTAAAAATTTACAAATGGATATGGGGAAGGAGTTTTACAACGCCGATATGCAGAAAATCTTGAAAAAACACGATGTTACTCACTATTCCACGTATTCGACGTTGAAAGCATCGGTAATCAAGCGGTTCAATCATACGCTCAAAAGTGACATGTAGAAGATATTTACACTCAATGGCAATTACAAGTGGATCGATGAGCTGCCGCGTCTCGTATCAGATTACAATGCGCCCAAGCATCTCACTATCGGCATGCGGCCCGCCGACGTAACTCCCGCATTCGCCGAAAGATTCTTGAACACGGTGTACAGCGTGATAATAATCGCTCCAGCAAAATTCAAAATGGGCGATTCGGTACGCGTGAGAAAATACAAGAAGATTTTTCATAAAGGTTATAGGCCAAATTGGACCACCAAGGTGTTTACGATCGTTAATGTGCAGCGTAACCAATCCCGTAACCTATCTACTTAAGGACTATCGTAGAAAATTCGTCGCTGGTGCGTTCTACGAGCACGAGTTGCATTGCGCTACTCATCCGAACGTGTATCTCGTGGAGAAAGTACTGCGCAGGAAAGGAGACAAAGTGTACGTCAAGTGGCTGGGATTCGATGGATCGCACAATTCATGGATACACAAAAACAATGTCATTTAATAAAATTTTTCGTGTATTTTTTTTCTACATATAAAAATATATATATCAATATAAAAATATAAACGTATATTTTTTTTTATTACTCCCCATCATCATCATCTTCGTTTTGGATAATTATACAAAATGTATAATTATTTGTAACAATTTATGTATGGACCAGAATACATACATATGTAGTAATACATAATAGTAATACTTATATACATGTAAAAAAAACATAAAGTGTAAATCAAAAGAATAGAAATACACAAATAGTAATACGCATAAATGATAAAAACATGAGACACAAATCAGAATATTAGTATATAATACGTATATAAATGTTAAAATACGATATGTATTATATGAAAATACAATAATCGTGATACATAAAAAATAGTAATAATATTTGTGTAAATGTAAAAAAGTGTAAATTACAATAGTAATACATAGTAGCAATATATACTGCATGTAATACATATAATACATATATATTGTATTACAAAGATATCCGCCAATGCCCCCACAATAACATCCCCGGTACGACGTATCGTTTGACATCGTATAGATTCAGAGTGATTTTCGATTCGGATATCGTGTAATTTAAATCGTATACACGATTGACGGCGAGTCATTTCACGAGTCTCTTCGTTCAAACACCGCGTGTAATCATCGAACGTTATCGTTCGCGCTACGACATTCTTTACGCCTTTTTAATGTCCTTCTTGCCATCATGTACTCTCACCGCGTACATCTTCGCTCTAAGTCCAATAAATTCGGTCATTAATGCACCGTTGTTCTTATCCTTTATCAGGCCGAATACTTTTTCGTTCGCGAGAGGCATATCGTACACGTTGTCTATCGGATAATCGCTCGTGTCGAATCTAGCGATATCGCGTTCCATAGTTTCGTCGCATTCTATATAGTAAATGAGGTTGTCCGTGTCGGTGTACATGATCTTGC